ACTTAGGAGGCTGAGGCAGGAGAATCACTTGAACTTAGGAGGTGGAGATTGCAGTGAGCTGAGATTGTGTCATGGCACTCCAGCCTGGGTGATGAAACGAGACTCTGTCTCAAGAAAAATAACAATAATAACAATAGAGAATCAGCAGAGACTGACCTGGTCGGGATTCCGCCATTTACATTTTCTCACTGCCCCGAAGCAGTGAGAATTAACAAAGACACATGCATTTCAAGCATGGCCAATATCACTAAGTGATCTGACACATTTCCCATTTGTTAAACTGTTCTCAACATGAAACCACTACCAATCAAAAGTAGTTGAAAATGAATTATATCCTCATTCTGGAGTCTCAAAATTATTGCTATTTCCTCTTGGAAATAGAATATTTCAGGTCTCTATAATTCTCTAGTTTAGACTAAATGCTGATTTCCAGATTCAAGTTAAAAATGAAGATTTGGTTGTTAAAGATTGTTTTTCAGATTCAAGTAGCCCTAAAATAGTCTGTAATATTTTGACTTTGACCTTTCCCCCAGATAATTAAATTCAAACTCAAAAAATCATGTCCATTTTATCTGCTGTGTGATTCTGAGTCACAGTATAATTCTGACAGATATTTCCCAAATTCAGGGCAGAACAACTTAGATTTTATGTTTACAGAGAGATCAGGAGCTCCAGACATTCTGCTCCTGTGCAAAATTATTATTAATTATGGCTCAATAACTAGGGAGAGTGGCTGGGCGCAGTGGTTCATGCCTGTAATCCCAGCACTTTGGGAGGCTGAAGTGGGCAGATCACTTGAGATCAGGAGTTTGAGACCAGTCTGGCGAACATGGTGAAATCTCGTCTCAACTAAAAATACAAAAATTAGCTTGGCACACTTATAATCCAAGCTACCTGGGAGACTGAGGTAGGAGAATCACTTGAACCCAGGAAGCAGAGGTTGTAGTGAGCAGAGATCATGCCATTGCACTCCAACCTAGGTGACAAGAGTGAAACTCCATCTCAAAAAAACTCAATAAATACATAAATGTGAAACTCTGTCTCAAGAAAAAGAAAAAAGAAATAATTAGGGAGAGAAAAAAACAAGTCTGAACACAAGAAAGGAAGTGAATTGATCCTACTCTGAATGCATTTGCCTTTGTTCATATTGTTGAACCCAGAATTCATGCTGCTTGCTGCACAATAGCCAATAAGTTGAGAGACAAGGTGTTGGTGATGCAGAATTGTTCTCGGCCCCTTTGCTGGACTCACAGCAGGAAAAGCCCTGTCTATGCCACCTGCCACATTCAGCCCCTGGCAGGAGGGAGCATGTGTGTGAGTGGGTGCAGAGCCCGGCTGGCCCCTTTAAGAGCTGACACAGGAGCAAGCCCTGTGGGGGGCCTATGGCCATATCAAGCATGTCACCCCAAGGGGAATGTGCCAAGGCCCAGGCAGGGGTGCTCATGACCCTGAGGCCCCAGAGGGGTTGTTACAGTGTACTAATTAGCTCTTTCAGTTCCACCATCCACCGCACAGTGGGCAGCAGTGAGTTAGCAGTTCAGTCAGCCTGTTTTCCCAGTCTGACCCACAGCTCTGGGACCGACGTGGCTCTGGGTCTGCCTTGGCCCTGCTGCTTCTGTCATGTGGGGTGATTGCCCTCCACCAGTGCCCGTGAGGGAAGAGGGCCAGTGCTACATCCTTCCCAGGTACCTGCCTTCGATGACTCCCAGGCTCTTGTCCTGTGTCCAAGAATGAGGTCACGCTGACAGTTGAAGGGTGATGAGAACAGAGAATTTTATTAACCAATGAAACAGCTCTCAGCAAAGAAGGGATGGGAAGGTGGAGTCGTCTCTCTCCTGAAGTCAGGTTGTCTCTCTCGGTGTGGCTGAGTCTGGGGCTTTTATAGGCACAGGATGAGGGAGTGCCTGCTGATTCGTTTATGAATATGTAAAAAAGATTAAAGCAAAGGTAGTACTTAAATTAGGCATAGTGTAAAAGCAATTAGGGAAGGGTAGGTATATGCAAAATAGGTGAAAGGTGGGAATTAAAGGAAAGTGTGCCAAATGAGAAGACATGTTCTCCATCCAGTGCCTGGATTTGATTTGTAATTTGGCTTTCAGGCTTTAAACTGTCTTTGGCTTGAAGGTGGGGTTTCACCGGGGACCACTGCTGTCTGCCTAGGATTTCTCTGCCTCCTGCCTCTAACATTGGGGCTAGAAAAGCTAGTTTATTTTAGAGAGCCAGCAAGCTGAGAAGCTGGCATACTAATGTCCTGAAGGACCATCTTAAAAGGCATGACTTCCAAGCTTCTTTCTATTTTTGGTAAGGGGAATCAAGGAGAGGCTTGAGATCAGAGGGTAACAGGTGGACACAGGCATCAGGGCATTGGAAGGAGCCTAAGGAGGTTGTGAAGCCCCTTTGTCCTTGGCCACGTCACAATGCTCCTATAAACATTTAACATTGTTATAACCGAGTGAGTTATAGAGAAAGTGCCACACTCTGAGATTGAATCAGGAGTCTTTTATTGCCGAGAGATGGCAAACGCTCAAAATTCTCTCTGCCCCAAAGAAGGGGCTTGATTCCTTTTTATACCTTGCTTAGAAAAGGAGAGTGACAAAGCGGAATTTTACAAAAGCAGAACAGGCAAGTTAGTTAAGGAAGCTGGTAACCAGGGGGCAGGAGGTTCCCACGGTTGTTGGTTACCAAGGGGAGTAGCAGGGGGGCCTTTCCATACAATCAATCTCCAAGGGGGGTAGGTCATTTGCAATAGCAGGTTGACTCGCCAAGCAGGATATAGTTACAACGGTTACAAGGTACTGGTACAGCATGAACCACCTGTGCACCGGAAGGAGAAATGGCGGGGAGGGAGAGGCTAAGATGGAGTCTGTTAGGCTATCACAACATAACCATCGTTATTTATGTGGATGGCCCTCTTTATCTCCTCAGGGATTAGTCTTTGGAACAGGCTGTTATCATCCTTGCTTTAAACTATAAACTAACTTCCTCCCATCAGCAGCTTGTTCTACCTGTAGCAATGAGCAAAGACAGTTAGCATGTGAGGTTAGAATCCAGATTGATTCAGCTGTGTTAGATTTCTATCACTGTTACAGTGATATGGAATACAAAAAGCTAGGTCCCCAGAATAATGAGATTCAAGTTTCCAACACCGGCACACACACAGGTGGGTTGTAAAGCTAATGGTGGCATGACCCTCCCCAAGACTTTGGGTCCCGTGTTAGCTATGCATTTCACCAGTACCCACTGAGCCAGGTGCTAAAGCTGATCTTTTTGCATCAGGGAGGGACTCGGACATTTCAGAACCAGATCCTTGAGTCAAGAGTCAAGAATGCTCCCGGTCACCAAATGTAATCATATTTTGAGCCTTCAGTTGTATCTTCTGAGTTCCTCTACCACAAGGTTAGCCTGGTATGATTTTTAAAACCATAATAACAGGACACTTTATAATCACCACCTAATTGCAGCCATTTCTTTTCCAGGAAGTCATATATTGTCTTCCTAAGGCATACTGATAAGCCCATTCATGCAGGATTAAATACTTCCAACCCAAAATGGCTATTATGCTTGACAGACTGATTAGCAAGTGTAGGGAGATGAAAACTACAATCTGAGTAAATTGGATGCTTTAAATTCACTAGAATGAGGCTTTTAATTACACTAGCAAGTCTAGAGTCTACATATATTTTTCCTCAGTAAAATAGATTGCACACATATCCAGTGCAATTTCTGACTAATAATGCTTAATAGGGGAATATCAAGTCCTCAACTTATAATATTCTTATTTATATTAAATCATCATTTAAATGTTTTAAAAATTATTCTCCCAGCTTTATGGCCAAGGAAGCTGTTCTACATCACAGGGGAACTGCTGTCCCCACACTAGCTGAAAATATACTTGCCTTGGCTGGGTGCAGTGGCTCATGCCTATAACCCTAGCACTTTGGGAGGCCGAGGCAGGTTGATTGCTTGAGCCCAGGAATTTAAGATGAGCCTGGGCAACATGAAAGACCCCATCTCTACAAAAGAAAAATATGAAAGAATAAGAAAAGAAAATGCACTAGCTCTTAAAAACTCAAAATCATGAGGGTAGAGGAACCAGGAAAGGACTTTCTGCTAAGGCCAGGATTCTGTTATTTACTGACAAAGACTGCCTTCTTGACCAAACTTTAGTTTGCTTCCTTTGATTTTTGTCCTTGACTGGGCTTTGACCTTGAAGACCTTCATGTCCTCAGCCTGCTGAGTCAGCTTGTTGAGAGCCACCCGTTGCTTTTATTTATCATACAATGTTTATTTTTCTACCCTTGCCATACAGGTCTTTGGCCTGCCCTTAGCAAGAATCTTTCTAGGTTAGTTTATCAAATGCCCCTTTCCACATGATGCCTATTTTTCCATCCATTGATGTCCTTATTTGAGTTTAGTGAGTTCAATCTCTCTCCCTTATTGCAATATCCTTGAATAAAATATGCCTTACCATTATCAACAAGTGTCCAGTGAACAACTTTTCTCTTTATACTATGAAAGCAAGTCTCAAAGTTGCAAGCATATCTTATCAACCACATTTTTAAAGTGCAAATGCATCCTTGAAATGTCCAGCATGATTGGCGAGTTTGCTTTCCAAGGCAGTCTCTTCTATTTAAATAAAGTGTTTTCAAATACAGTAATAACAGAGTGCTTTTTTGTTTGGATGCACTGCATTTAGCAGACAGTTTCTGAGCATTTACTGTGTGCCCAGCATGGTTACAGGGGCCTCACCCATGGGTCTCTTTCTAAAGAGTTCTCATTGATAGACTGTGTGTGGTGCCCCTGCATTGACCCAGGGGATGTTTGCTGTTTTGCTGAGCTATAATCCTTTTTTTTTTTTTCCTATTTCTATCATAGCTGTATTCATAGTTCTTCTGGATTCCACTACATGATCAGGAAGGGCACATAATCCAGGCCTACACAATCAGAACCTTCCATTTTGTCTGGCCACTGTGACTGATTCAAGGATGGTGTGTTAGTCGGTTTTTGCATTGCTGTTAAGAAATACTTGAGACTAGGTTATTTATAAAGAATAGAGGTTTAGTTTGGCTCATGGTTCTGCAGGCTCTATGAGAATCCTGGTGCCAGCATCTGCTTCTGCTTGGAATCATGATGTAAGGCAAAGAGGGTGCTGGCATATCAGATGGCAGCAGCAGGAGCAAGAGACAGAGAGGGCAGGGGCCATACTTAAAAAAATAACCTGCTCTCATGTAAACTCATTACCATGGGGAGGACACATACCTATTCATGAGAGATCTGCTCCCATGACCCAAACACCTTCCACAAGGCAGGAGTCACATTTCAACATGAGTTTTAGAGGGGACAATTATTCAAACGTATCATAGGGTGTGGGACTTCATTAGGGCAGGAAGCCAGGTCCAGGACTTGCACTGAAACTGCTTGGAAGAGTAGAGAAGGGACATCTTCTGCCTCCTGCAAGGACAAGAGTATGTGTCCATCAGGGGTTACCTCCTGAAGTGAGTCTGCCTAAAATAAAAGCCAGCACAGGTTAAATCAGAAAAGAGAGACAGAAAAAGCAGATCTTGAGAAAAGTGCTTCAGCTACTGGATTCAGCTATACTTGGAACTAGTATATCCCTGGACTTACGAGCAAATCAAGTAAATAAATTTCTTTCTCACTCAAGTCAGTTTGAGTGGTGATCAGAAGAGGACTGATGGCCACAGGGACTAACACAGGATATACATGATCTTGACAGTGACTTCCTGTGTAACCCTGGATAAGCCCAACACACTCATGAAACATTTCGTCCTTGAATAAACAGGCTCCCAGCATAACCCCATTGCAGAGCTGTTCCCTGAGACCTGGAGGGGAACACAGAAGGGTGCTATGTCCACTGCACCTGTAGGAGAGGCAAGGCAGTAAAACAGAGAGGCTGTGACTATCCAGGCAAACAGTTGAAAGTTTGAATTTCTGCTCTTCTGCTCATGGGCTGTGTAACCCTAAGACAATTATTTGACTTCTCTGAGCCTCAATTTTCCCACGAGTAAATTGAGAAAAATGGTACCATCTGGCAAACTCTCAAAGAATATTGGATAAAATAACAAAAACGTGAATGAATGAATGAGTAATGGAATAGATATTAAAGGACCAGCAGGTATGTATGCCTGCTGCATAGTAACATACCAATACTCTGAGACAGCAGGGTTTGCAGCAGAGAAAGAGTTTAATAATTACAGGGCACCAAGTAAAGAGACAGAAGGAGACTCTTTTCTCTATTTCCTCAAGGGGTTCTGGGCTGGAGCTGTTCATGGAGGATGAGGGGCTGGAAGATTGGGGTCACTGATCAGTCAGGATAAGAGGGGTGAAACCATCGGGACATGGAAAATGCATTGTTTGGTGAGTCAGGTCCTTGCAGAGTCCTTCAGACCAGCTGAGTTAGTAGTTTCACTGATACACAAGACTGAAAGGCTATTGGATATGGGTTTGGCTTGTTCCCACCCAAGTCTCATCTTGAATTCCCATGTGTTGTGGGAGGGACCCGGTAGGAGGTAATTGAATCATGGGGGTGGGTCTTTCCCACGCTGTTGTCATGATAGCGAATAACTCTCATGAGATCTGATAGTTTTAAAAAGGAGTGTTTCCCTGCACAAACTCTCCGTTTGCCTGCTGCCATCCGTGAAAGACATGACTTGCTCCTCCTTGCCTCCCACCATGATTGTGAGGCCTCCCCAGCCACATGGAACTGTGAGTCCATTAAACTCTTTTTCCTGTATAAATTACTCAGTCTCAGGTATGTCTTTATCAGCAGCATGAAAGTGGTCTAAAACCATATCTCAAGTGGACAAGGTTTTCTAATGTTCAAGATGTTAATTACAGAGCAGTTAAGTGGAACTCTAATTGTGGAACAGAGTCGATGAGATTCTGAGGCAATCAGCACCAAACAGCTAAGAGGAAGCAGGTCAGAGAGCAGGCTTCCCTCATGGCGAATGCTAAACATGCTGCAAGCTGGATTCAGTTCTCTTTCTCCCCTTCTCTTCTTCCCTGATTCATTTTCTAAAGTTTAAAGGGACAGTTTCACAGGTGAACAGTTAGCGTTCTAATTCCTGATCTGCTACTCATGGACTGTGTGACCCTGGGGCAATCATTTAATCCTTCCGTGCCTCAGTAATCTCACCAGTAAAATCAAGAAAATGCAGTAACTATTGGTAAACTCTCAAAGAAGATTGGGTAAAAGAACGGCAACATGAATGAAAGAATAAATGAAAAAATAAATGTCATATTCTGGCTTGTTCCTATAGAAAATAGGAAATAAAATTAGGAGATTAAGTAACTTAGACACTAAGTATTGATTAGGTAAATTGACAGCAATAATGCATAGGGCTCAGAAGCAGCTACTCAGGAAGTGAAGATTTTGTTTAGAAACCCAACTCTGCCTTTTAATCATATGATGATATTGACAAAGTTGCTTTAACTCCCTAATGATCAGTTTCCAAATCTAACATATGGGGAAACTTAAAATGGTTAAAGTAGAACTTAGTTTCCAGATTCAGTACTTTGGAGACAAATGATATAGAAAATTGAACACATGAGCTGGACAGATGTGGCCAGTGTGCATTCTCTTCTGCCATTTTCTGTTTTACTCATATGTGTCTCATTTGTCTACTCAAAGTAAGTCACTGGTACCATATCCCTCTCATGTACATCTCAGAGGTCCAGAAAAGGACTTTTCAAATATTAGGTGCTATCACAATTCTGACATTTCTACATGCAAGTAACAGAAATCACTAAAATAATGGCTCATACAGTCAAGACATCTAAGTATCTCTTAGTGCAGAGGGCTGTGAGTAAATGATTCTAGACCAAAGCATTGGTTTAGCAATGAAACCAAGAACCTGGGCTCTTTCTACGATTCATATCTGCCACCCTCCAATGTTGATTTTTTCATTCTCCTGCTTAGCAAACTTGTGTTCACACGATGGCTGCACAGCTTTGGTCATCACAGCCTTTTCATGGCAGAAGAAGAGGGAAAGTTCCTATCATAACTTTCTTTTGTTAAGGAGGCAAGAGTTTTCCCAGAAATCTCAAATGACTGTCTAAGGGCTCGTTGGCCAGCACTGGGTCACATGGTCGCCTCTTGTTAAAAGGAAGTTTGGAAAAGTGAGTGCCTTGCTTTGCAGGTACTTTAGTGGAAAGGGACAAAAGAGAAGATGATGGAAACTGCTGCTGTGTTAGTTGAAACGCGGTTGGCCACAGACTGAAGAATAAAGAGGTGGAGAAGGTCATTGATCACCTCGACTGCAGCACTGCAGACAAGGTAAAGAGAGCCCGATGGAGAGGAAGATTGAGGACTAAGGGTCTTCACCTACAGGCGAGCTCACATCTGAAATCATGCTTACATGAATGTGAAAATACCCCACCCACAGAGTTCCCCACCCGTTGCATTTAAGAATCAAACTTCACCCTTTCTGTCTTCCTAGCTTCATGTTGATATGGTAAAAAGAAAAAAAAAATCAGTATAACTCAGGCACCTTCAAGTTTCATCCCACTCTTCTCCAAAGATAGTGATCTCCCTTGAGTAGTCTTCTCTTTTGTCTACTGTGCAACAGGATGTATAACCATCACCTTCCCCTCCAGCCGACATGCTAGGGCACTTTCTATTAGGAAACAGAGAAGGATGGAAGGATGATACTGACATGATGGTGATAATATTCCTGGAGCTGGGAAACTTGCAGAGTAACCAGTCTTCTACTACTCACCACATTTTTACCTGATGACCAAGGACAAGGCTCTGTCATAACAGACCATCATCATAGTGGGTAGCCTGCATCCATTCATCCAACAGATATTTACACAGTGGGTCCTAACTGTAGACACCGAAATAATCAGGGTGATAGGATGCTAACAATGCCAACAGAGTGGGTCAACAATAGAACTTTATTCTAAGTGCTTTATGTGCCTTTTCTTCTTGCTCTGTATGAAAAACATGTGAGGTATTTTCTGTTATGACTCCACTGTAGGATTAAAGAAACTGGGGCCCAATGGTTGAGTAACACAGCTTGTCAACGGTTAATAGCTACTGAATGGCCGAGCTGGAATTTTCACCCATGAGTTTAGCCACCATACATACTGCCTCTATGGTGAGAAATAAAATAGACATGATCTCTGTTTCTATGCGCTGGAGAGAAAAAAGGACATGAAACCAATTCACACATGAATATGATTCTAAATTGTCATGAGGGGTGCATAACAATGTAAACAAGCTACCAAGATAGCAAACACAAAGAAAAGTCATAATTTATGCTGAGAATTAAAGAAGGCCTCTCTTCTCCCTCTCTCACCCCCAAAAATGTGACATTTAAGCTAAAACCTCATGAACACAGCACATTGTCTTGTTGAATAATCTGGGGAGGGGAAGTGAGACTGGTGAGGAGCAGTCTCTTGGGCAAAGGAAATGGCCTCAGCCTGAGATAGAAATGGGTTTGGTAAAGGAGGAGAGAAACAGACAGACAATGATGTAACTGTGCTATTGCTGCAGAAATGGTGAGTCACAGGCAGCCGTAGCCTCACGTGTAGGCTGTTCCAGGTGTCTCTTCATTTTCCATGCAAGTTGTTACTGTATGCAGCATGTTCTTTACATGGAGAATGGTAACAGCATAAGAGGACTAGACAGAAGTTTTTCAGTAACGCTTAAGAGTTTTTCTTGGAATGAGTCACTTCCGTCACATTTCATTGGCCAAAATGCAAGGCACAGCCAAGCTTCTGTGGGAGAAATTGCAAACTCACCTCACAAAGTGTGTAGATTCTAATGTAGAGAAGAACAAAATATTAGGAGCAATCATCCCAGCTACCTGTGGCTCTAGGTGTTCTGAAAAGATGGTTATTTTCATGGCTTTGGGATATGTTCTTTAGGCCAGGTAGAAGAAGGAATAAGCTAATCAATGAAAGAATCTGGAGAAGAAGTTTGGGAAAGCCCTCATGCTATGTCTAGGGGTTGGGTTTTATGCTATCAGCCTTGGGAAAATGCTTATGAAGCCTTCCTAAAGGACATCCTCAAAGATAATTTTTTTTTTTTTTTTTTTTTTTTTTACTGTTCTCTGGAAAGCCAAATCTTGAGCCATTATCATCCCAGCCCAACTAAGCCTTCCAGGAAACTGGGCTTATTGTCCATCTCTATAATCACTAAGTGGAAATGCATTTCTCACCATGCTAGAACAGTATTTTAAAAAGCATCATTTGCTTGAATTCAAAATCTTTCTAGATCTCTAGAGTTCAAGGAATCTTTCTTGCTGTGAAACAGATTTTTCTGAAACTTTATCTTAAGACAGACATAAATGTAACATTCTTATGGATACCGTATCTTATCAAATAAATGTCCTTGTTTTAACATTATTTATAAATATCTAAAATGTTTAGGCCTAATTGTAATGAGAATATAAAGGAAGATACACAGTAATTCTTATATTCCACCACACCTCTTTATCAAAATTTTCAAAATGTCTCATGAAATCATAAGCTAAGTCACGTTTGATTTGATCTCATGTAAACATTTAATATTTTTAAAATATCTGTTATCAGCTACCCTCTACGCTAGGCAATTTAGGAGATGAAAATTTTCTGACTACTTGGGTCTTATAGTCTGCTTAGGGTAGTAAGATTGGCATTGAGAAAATTAACATGCAACGTAATTTAATTAAGACCTGTTATGACAGAGATGATTCTTCTTTGAAGTCAGTCAATCAACCCTAGAAAGAGATTTCTGCAGCACTCTCCTTTTCTTGTCCCATATGTGAAATTTCTGCCACTGTGCTAAGTTGTGAATGGCAGCTGATTTAGGCAACAGGGAGCAATGATCACCAGTGGGTGTCTTGGAATTCCAGCCCCCAGTTTGGATCATTGATTCCTACATAAGTTTCAAAGAAGAGCCTAGCAAAGAAGGACGGAAGGAAGCAGAATGTCCCCACGGGCCAGGGAACAGCAGGGCCATAAGGTGCCAGGGTTTGCATGTTTCAGCATAAAGTTTCCATGTCAGAGAGGGCATGGACACCCAACACTTGCAGGCCCATTTACCCCTCTAGGGCATGTTGGTCCAGACCCATGCAGCAGCTCCCCTCCAGCCCCTGCCCTTTACCCACCCGCCCCCCACCGCACCGAGTCTAGAAGGTGAAAAATGTCCACAGCTTTTAATCAAAGATCAAATGCTAGAAAAGAGTGGGTTACAATTTTTTTTTCATTTTTCCCCAGCCTTCTCTGTATTTTTAAGCAATGAATATCAGTTACCAACAGAAAACAAACCTAGATTTCACACAACATGAAAATTTGTCCAATATTCTGGAACTACAGGAAGACCCAACTGCACTGAGTTCGCATTCCAACATGGCAAGGATTCCCTTGTCCTGAGGCCCAAATCCTCCCTCCGGATGGGGCGGGGGCCTTCAGTCCTTTCTAGATCCAATCATTCATGCATGTCCCAGTCATAGCCTGCAGGGACAGCTGCAAGAACTACTTAGCCCCAGGAGATAACCTACATTGGCTAAATAATGCATGGAACTAACTGCATGCCAGGCACTGTGCTGGGAATTATGAATGCAAAGAAGCAGATGCCTGACTCACTCCATCTTTGTGGAACTCACAGAAAAGTTGGAGAAACAAGCTCATTATTGAAACAGAATGTCGCAGGTGCTTATAAGGGACATGTTCATCAAGAACCTTGGGAGGACGTAAGAGCAAGCTGCTCCAACTCCTGTTCCATCTGCTGCAGGCACTGCTCCTCTGTCATGCTCCCTTTGCTTATGTGAGTCATGAAACAGACAGGTTCATTTTCCCCATTAGGCTGTGAGTATCTCAGGAAATGGCCATATCTAATTCACAAGAGCAAAATATACGAGTTGAAAAGCAATGGAATGATAAACTGATTTTGACCAGATAGTATTTCAAGATAGATGGATGGATAGATAGAGATACAGACATAGTATAGATATAAAAGTCCACATAGAGGTATCTCCAGATTCACTTCCTGAAGCCCCCTTTCCAATTCATGAGTCAATACATCCCTTCCTTGGGATAATCTGAAGCTTTGTTGTTTGCAACATCAAATGTTATATGCTACATGCGATACACAGAATAATGGGTCCCTAAAGAGGTCTGTGTTCAAATCCACAGGACCTGTAAATACGTTGCCTTCTGTATCAAAAGTAACTTTATAAGCATAACGACATTAAGGATCTTGAGCTGGGGAGAAGATTCTGGGTAATCTGGCAGGCCCCACATGATCATAAAGGTTCTTACAAGTGAAAGAGTGAGAGATGGGGATGAAAGTCAGAGGGAAATTGGGAGGCCATGCTGCTGCCTTTGATGATGGAGAAAGGAGTCACATAACAGAGCACACAGGCCACTTCGGTAAGCTGGAGAAAGAAAGCGTTCTTCCCTAAAGCTTCCAGTAGGAATGCGGCCAACACCTAGACTACGGCTCATCAAAACCTAATGTGGACCTCTGACCTCCAGAATTGGAAGGTAATGCATTTCTAGCGTTTTAAGTCACTAAATTTTTGAATATTTGTTATAGCAGCAATTGGAAATTAATATAACCAATGACAGCAGAGCATTCTTAATGAGGCAGACTCCCTATGCTTCTCTGTACTCTAGCCTTTGACTTGCCTTATAATTTGAGTGAGTGTTTAACTATATTTCAAGGAATAAGTGAAAGGTGCAGTAAAAACGTGTAAATTACCTACAAAATAGAGGTTAATCTATTTTCTTGAAGTTTATTACTTCTTTCCTGGAACACCTAATCCTGCTAGGAACTTGACATCTCACAATGGTTCCCTGAAATGGCTACAGTACTAACACCAAATCTCATTCTCTTCCACCCAGTTCTATGCGTTTGCTAAATCAAACCATCATAGTCTCAGGATCCATTTTCCAACTATTTTTGCTTTAAAAACTTGAGGTAAAGATTGGCCATTCACTGCTGCTGTTCAACCAAATGAAAAATTTGTAGCAGAGAAGGTAATAGAATTCAGGAGAATATTGGATGTCAGGTTCTGTCACAACTTAAATAAATCTCAATAAATTAAAATCTCTTAACTTTTCAACAATATTGCACATTGAAAGTTCATAGAAATTCCTTGAAGCAACTGTATTGAAGTATTCGATGAATAAAAGGCCCTTCTACTAAAAGACCAATACCTATTCATGAACTGTCACTGAAGGAATACTCACGTCCTTCCACAAGCAACATAATTTAAATGTTTCGAAGCCCCCATGTATGTGGTATTGTAGGAGCTGATCCATCCATTCTTCCAATGGCTACCGCAGGAAGGCAGTGCCAAGGGCGATGACCAAATCCAGCCTTTCCTTATTTCTGCCTACTGCCCACAGAATTAAGTTCAAGCACACAAGCTGGGTGAATCAGTAGTGGCCCTAGCAGGAAATAAGATTCCACTCAAATGCATTTATGGGATAGATTTCCATAAAGTATTGGGGGTTTGAAAGGAATATTTACAGGGTTAAGAAGAATAAAAAGGGTGTTGAGGAACCCAGAAACTGGTATCTTCAGAAAGCTGTTATCGTCCCTGGATCTGAAGGTCCAGGAGGAGGATATGGTGTTGCCGGGGCTCTTGAAAGCTACTTCCAAGGCAGAGGGGCCGTGTGGTAGGGGCTGTAGTCCTGAAAGGATGTGGCCATTGCCAGAACCATGTTGCCAAAGCAGAAAATAAGTGGGAAATAAACCTCCAATCATTTTCTTTCCCCCTTCCAAGCTCCCGCTGGTGCCTCCTGCTGGCCAACACTGACCACAGCCCTTTGTCACAGCTGATAAAGGAGCCTGGGTGAGGACACCTGTAGGAGTCAGTCCCTGGGCACAAGGTATGGTGAAGAGTTGCAAGGGGATGGGGTGGAAACAAACAGAGAATAACCAGCATGCCTCGTATTTGTGGGTCTCTTTGAATACCAGGCACGCTGGTTATTCTCTTTACACATTTGTCTCTCTGTCACCCCTACCAGATTTCACAGGGGAATGAGAAAACAGATCCTGTCCATGGGAGTGAAAACCTAAAAACAATATAGCAATATAGACGTTCAACTTCTGTCCTGGCAGAAGGACCTTAAGGACCAATGGCAAAAATGCAAAATTTGTGTGCAGTGATGTTCACTGAAGCATGGTTTGCATTCGGAAATGCTACCTGCAAAACCTAATGTGCATCAACAAGAAACTGGTTGATAGGTTATACAATGCTATATGATGTAGATTATAGAATCTATGTAGAATTGATGTGGTAGAATGTGTCAACATGGAAAGTTGTCTAAACATATTTTGAAGTGAAAATAGCAAGGTCAAAATAGTGTTGATAGTATAATCCGTTTCAGCAATTATAATATTGTACACACAGTGAAATATTTTCCTAAATTAATCACTGGGCTTTTCACTCTTAAAATTTTCCTTTTACATATGTTAAAACTAAATGATGACATCTTCTGCTCAAGTCAAGAAGGATCCAGCCAAAATACAGATGATCAATAAATTCCTGTATTTCAAAACCTTCAAATCAGATTTTAGAAGCTCATAGCATTGATAACATTTTGAGAGAAAAAAAAAATCAGAGTAACAAAAATCACTGTCCTGAAGAAGATATGTTTCCAGTTGACAGAACCAGACTGTTATCTTTAAAACAAACAAACAAATAAACAACAAAAAAAACCCGTTGTCTACGTAAAGAATTATGCTTGCTTATTGTAAAAACTCAAGCAATAAGGAGACACACAAAATAGAGGCTAAAATTTTTGGCCCCCAAAATCTCAGTAATAATCCCCCCTCCTATAATAATTCTAAATGTGTATGCACAGGCACAGAAGGACTTCATGTTTGTGTGTGTGTGTTTGTGTGTATGTGTGATCAGTCGTCTATTGCTGCATAGCTGATACCCAAAAACATAGTGGCTTAACAGTCATTTTATTTGCTCTGAATCTGGAGTTATACTTTGAGCTGTGCTTAGCATGCTGGTTCTTCCACCTGTCCTAGCTTGGGTCACTCGTATGGCTGCAGCCATCTGGCAGCCCAGTTGGGAAGCTGATGTTGGCCAGGTCTCTCTGTCCATGTGGTTTCTCAACCTCCAGAGAGTGAATACAGGTCCCCTCCCGCCGCCCAGGGTTTAGACCTTCTAAGAAGGGCAATCTGAAGTGGCAAGGGTTCTTGAAGCCCAGGCCCAGGAGTGGTTCAATGGCTCTTCAGCCATATTCCATTGGTCAAAGCACACCTTGAGGTCAGCTTAGGTCACAGGGATAGACAATCACACTGCACTTCTTGGTGATAATATTTACACATCACGTGCTGTCCGTTTTCATCTTCTACACATGCACTAGGAAAAACAACACTTAATATCATAATACACTAAATAATGGGGAAAACTAAACAACCAAATAAGAAAAAAAATGGGTAACAAATATAAACAGACCATTTACTAAAGGCAAAATACAAATGGAAAATAGAATGTTTGTAGAAGATGCCTCAACTTACCAGTGGCTAAAGGAATGCGACTTTGAACTATGTTTACTGGGAGCAGAGGGAGTATTTTCAACATAAAAATAGCTACTGTTTTGGCAGTTTGTAGACCACCAGACATCATACCAAGTGAAAACACATGAGATAAATATGGTTAAGAAAATCTCATTTCACAGATGAAGAAAGAGAATCCGGGAGGCTGTCACTGGCTCCAGTAATTGGGAGATGGGACCTTGGACCCGTAGTAAAGGCAATGGGATCCAGGGAGTGGTGAGGAGCCTCTTATGCTATGATCCGTCAATCGCTTCTCTTCAACGACCTTCTTTGAATTTATTATACTTATAAACACAGGGAAGATCTGAGTGCACGGCTCATGACTAATGCCAGCATTTTGGGAGGCTGAGTCAGGAAGAATCACTTGAAGCCAGGAGTTCAAGACTATCCTGGGCAACATAATGAGACCCCATCTCTAAAAAAAAAATAAAAACAAAAAAGACCCTCTTTAACCCATCAAATAAACACATAAAGCTTTAGCTTAGTATAGATTTTGGGTTTCCTTCACTCTAGCCTATTAATTTATTTAAGCAATAAAACTAAGGTCTAATTGGGAAGAAAGTTGTC